GATAATTTGGGGGGGGGGGAAGGTGGAATCAAAGTCCAGTATCGAATTATCATTACACGAGATCTGCGAAGTCTGGTATTTTAAGAAGCTTGATTCAGCCAATGAAGGCAAGATTATGATCGATCCAGTCGGTGAAGACAAGGTCGCAGTCGATCCAACCGATGAAGGCAAGATCGCATTAGCATAGCTCACTCAGTATGTATACAGCTTATAGTGGCGAATGCACTTTTGCAGTTTTACGTAAATGACGTTTTAAATGTAAAAAAATCGAATTTTCGGATATAGATGTAATATATGTAATAATATCTGATCCCCTCTCCCCCTCCCCCCAGCTACGATAACAATTGTCACCTTAACCTGAAACTTCTTTGCAATTAATATCTCATTGTAGGGTATTATTTGGCGCACAGTTCAGTCGCAAAATCGAGGGTTCAAAAATGAAAGAAAAACACCTCTTTTTTGAGATCACTCTTTTGCTAACGTGGCTCACATTATACTACTTTCTTTTTTAATTTTTACTGCATCTATATAACTAACCTTAGTAAAAAATAAAAAAAAATTCTTAAAACTTACCCGACGGATACCCGAATTGGATCCGGTTATTTTATATGTATTAATAGCCAAAAATTATTAATTATAAATGTATAATTTTATAGTCATAGAGAGACCAAAAATTAGCTATTTAATTTAATTCCTTTAAAGGGAACAATTTTAACAAATCATGTAGCCATGCTTCTTGTATTGCGTGTTTAAACAGATGATATAGTCACTTGAAGTTTGGTTACACATGTAGTTATAGCTTATAGCTAAGTAAAAACTGAAACAAAGGAAAAGAGAAATACGATAATAATATAATAGTAAAAATATATTAATGCATTCGCCACATTAGTAAAGAAATGATTTGAATAAAATTTGGGCAGTACAAGTATATAATTATTTGTTAAGTATATTATTAAATACATAAATAATATGGATACAAAATGAAAGACTTCTCTCTCTCTCTCTCTCTCTCTCTCTCTCGCTCTCCCTGTCTTCTATTTGATATTGTTTAAATATTATTATACTTGTGCCTACTCGTAGCTTATATATACATACTAACCTTTATCAGTTTTCAATTTATTTAGAAAAACACAGATTAGATATTTTAAAAGGACATTTGATGATGTAGAAAAGTATAATTATAATTGTCATTATACTTCAATGAAATTGATTGCAACACTTGTATTGTACGTTTTGGAAATCTTGCGATGGATTTTTTCTTTTTTTTTGTCATTTATCCATTGTCTCATAAATAATGTTTGATTTTATCTTTTGCTTTATATCAAATTTTATGTCGCTGGTTTTATCTGTATAATAAGTTTTTATACAAATAAAATCAGCGACACAAAATTTGACATATAACATAATATCATAAAAATTTCTAAAAAATTTTTAAAAACTATTCACGAAACACATATTCTTCCGCTGCATAAAGTGTAAATAAAGAACACTGATGGTATTGTTTACCTTGCAAACTATACCATGCATTTCTCCAAGAAATTATGGCAGGTTGTCGATTGATATCTCCTTCCTGGAAGTTATGATACCACTTTATACGTATTCACAAGTTTTCTCAGTACCACAGTAAACAACACCGAAGTTTTTTTTTATTGTGCACATATATGTTAATTAGTCGATTTCAAAACAGTGAAGTTGAGCATATCACCACGAGTACTTCGTGACCTTGTACAAGCATTTTATTTATTTCCATGGATCAGATTTAGACATTATCCGGATAATCCGGTTAATCCTGTTCCTTCGAAAACTACAATTTTCAAAGATTTTTATATAAATAATATATAAATACGACGTATGAAAGTGCTGAGTCTTTATAGCAGTAGGTACTCATCTTTGCAGTGCAAAATACATGTATTACGTTCAAGGAATTTGATCAAAGAATCTGGGGCTATATTGAAATTAATGAAAAGTGTATATCATCTTGTTAATGTAAGTATTGGTAATCACAAATCTAGGAATAGCATGGGAATAGAACAAGATATATTATTGAAATTAATATTTAAGGTGATACTTTAGTAAATCGAGTTACTATAGAAATATTTAATTTTTTTATATAATAAAGTTAAAGTAATTAATTTTTTTCTAAATTCAAAAATATTTTTGAACAAATTAATAAATTTTATCGACACTCTATACTTATCTTTTAATCAAAAGTGTACTGAATTGTCTGAAAATGTCACGTCTGAAGAATTTGTGATAAGTATGTAATGAGATAAGATATAACTTTCTAAAAATCACGATTCTGATAGGGGATACGTGACTTTTAGAAAAATGAATGAAATCGTGACATATTTTTGAAAAATATGTTACGATTCTGATACGAGATATGTGACTTTTAGAAAGTTATATCTTATCTCATTACATATCACAAATTTTTCAAACATGACCTTTCCAACAATTCAATGCACTTTTGATTATAAGATAAGTATAGCGTGTTGATAAAATTTATTAATTTGCTAAAAGATTAATAAATTTTTAAAAGTATTGTATATAATATTTTTAAATGCAACAGTGGTTTTTTAATTCATTTTTCAAAGAGAGAGAGAGATTTAATTTTATACAATAATTTTACGAGGGTGGCTCGATAAGTCTGATAAATCTATCAGTGAAAAATATAACAAAGCCCATCAGAGCCTACATCAGCTGTTCGGATGCATAGAAAACTCTTTATTTTCGTGTGAAAATAACTCATTTCATCTCTGACTGTCGACACCACAAGACCTTTACGTCGAGTCGCAAGAAACGCTTACATGTAAGTTAATAAAATTGAAGATGAGACAAATGATTTTAATAATTCTCTAATTTTTCGTTTTTCGTTTTTCTTTTGAATGACTACATAGAAAATCTGACAATCTGATGAGCGATGTGGTGCTACTTATTGAAGCAATGTATATGACTTCGGTTTTATTTTATGTAAGTTCTTATATTATTATTGTATAAGTTTAATATTTTTTAGAATTATTTGGCTATTTATTACATAGCTAATTTGGCATTTGGATAAAGAAGAACGAGCTAAATTGTCGGGAATCACCATTTTGGAATTTGCTTTACTTATGTAATTTCGATTTATATTTTATATTGATAAGGACCCGAATTGAAAAATCGAAACGTTTATTTTATTCGTTTTGTTACATTCACACGAAAATAAAGAACTTTCTGTGCATACGAACAGCCGATGTAGGCTCTGATAGGCTTTTTTATATTTTTTACTAATAGATTCTTTCGAGCCTCATTTTATATATTTGTCTGATAAATCTTTATGAGATGGTGCCACAATCCATTTGATGATATGACACCTGGAAAGAATCACTATTCAAACCTTTCCAGATCAAATTTCAGCCAAAATTAACGCATTATTCACGTACGGTTTAAAGCGAGTGAGAAATTTAGTAGTTGCCGCGTACAAAAATAAAAAAAAAATGATTTCCGTGCAGAATTGGGTATCGAATTGATTCTTATCCACCTTATTCTCCGGATTTAGAATAGAATGAGAAATCATTGAAGTCTAATTTTGTAATTTTGCACGAAAATCGTTTTTTTTTTTTTAATTTTTTTACGCAGCAACTACTAAATTTCTCACTCGTTTTAAATGATTACCGTGCGTGAATAATGCCTTAATTCTAGTTGAAATTTGACCTGGAAAGGTTTGAAGAGTGATACTTTCCAGGTGTTATATCATCAAATGGATTATGGCACCATCTCATAAAAATTTACCATACTTATCGAACAACCCTCGTATTATAAGAGAATGGATTCGGAATAAAATTGTCTTTAATTTTTCTTCATGGAAAAAATTAATAATAGGTTAATGTATATATTTTAAAAAGTTATTACACTTTCGAAAATCCGAATACATATATGTATACAGTCATCAAGCATATAGAAAACTATGCAAATTTTACTTAAAACAACTTTTCATATATTCTTATTGTTTCGACGATAATTACTTATACATGAGCACGGATATCGTATGTATGAAAATGTTTATAATAAATTCTTGAAAATGGTATATTGTAATATAACCTTATTATATATATAATTGAACTTAGAAAAAAATTATCTTTATTTTGGTAAAATAAAATTTGAAAAATTTGAGAAAATTATGGGTAGTGGGAGTATTTTGTTAAACAAAAAGATTAAAAGAAATTTTTTTCACAACATTGAAGTACTTTTGAAACCGTACAACTTTTGTTTAAAAAATTTTTGTCCATCTTTTATACTTCCGACGGTATTCTACTTCGGCTCAAAACAGAAATACTGTTTTTTTTCAAAGGGATGTTTCACCCCTTAAACATGAGTTAGCGCACGTATAAAAAAATACGTGTCTCTTAGTTTTTTGTGTTTAACTACGTATTTCACGGAGAATCAAATCGGTGGTGGACAGTTTTGTAACGTCCCTTGTGACAGATAAAGCTCGCAGATGCTTCTTTAACTAATTGCATACAAATCTTTCCATAGACTTTTCTCAAAAACGAGATTATAACAGCTTAAAAAATTACAATCTCAATGATGATTTTAATGATCACAAAAAAGTAATAGGTCAATGGCAATTCTGGAAAAATATTTACTTATTGTTATGTAGAAAGTTTCTTGCATCTGCAAGTATCAACCATTATCATTTTTTCATTAATAAGGTGATTGGGGGGAAGACGCCATACTTAATTATGTAAAATTTATTGATATTTATGTAAAATTTATAAGATTATTTATGTAAAATTATATTGCGATACATGAACCAGTTGTCCAGTAAATAAATAAAATATTTATTTATTCTAAATTTTTGTAATTAATTTATGAATCTGTTAATATTTGTATTGTTTTACACATATTGAGTTTTACATTATTTTAATATATACTATTTTACCTATCTGGTCTAGTGATTAGGTGGCAGCGTTGAGTACATAAGTCTGTTGTAAGATAATACCGCAGCATATTGCGTCCAAAATTACTATACTGAATTTGACACAGCCATGGAGAATCCAAGAGTCTACAGTGAATTTGACAAAGTACAAAAGAATAGAATATCATCTATAATCGAAGAGTTTTGCGAAGATTTAATGAATATACATGGAAAGTGTATGGACATCGGCTGCGGTCCTGGAGATATAACAAAGGATTTTTTATTACCTTCTCTTGGCTCAAATGCACAAATAATTGGTAAAAGAGTAATAAATTGCAGAAATATAATAGCAAAAATCGACGTTATAATTATATATTTAATTCAATGCTTGCATTTCGTGAAGGTACGGATATTTCGGAGAGTATGATCAAATATGCGAATAAGACATTTAGTGACAAAAAACAACTTCGATTTGAAATATTGGATATTGAAACTAAAAATTTGCCTAAGAAATATATTTCTGAATTTGATCACATATTTTCATTTCAAACTTTGCAATGGTGCAAGGACATTCGGTAAGCAAACTAAAAAGTTTTTATACAAGAGTGAATTAATTTTTTCTTCTAAACGTATTGTACGTGCGCGCGCATGAATCAATTTTAAAATAAAACATATTCCAAATAAATTTATGCACATAGTATTATTTTACATTTAAATCTAATTGTTGTTTATAATGTTTCTTGATATTTCTATATCATAATAATATAGTGACATTTAGAAGAATAATGAACATAAAAGAACAAAATATATGATTTTACCATAAGATTTGCATGATTATATTAAGAAAAATATTTTTAAAGATATATTAATAAATGTTAAAAAATAATAAAAATAGGGCCACGAGAGTCGAACAAGGTCTACATGCGAATTTATTAAACCCAGTAAACAAAGTTTCATTATAACAAACATTTCGACGCCCGCAAGTTATAATTATTCAGATGTACTTGATTCTAGATAATCAAGATGTACCGGTTTAAACTTAAATTTATATAAATTTATATGTTAACATTGAGAACGATCCGATTGGAACCGAAATGTTTGTTAAAATAAAACTTTGTTTAACATTTTAAATAAATTAGCATTTAGACCTTGCTCGGCTCGTAGCCTTATTTTCATTATTATTTTTTAATTATTTAAGTTAATTGAGCCTTTCTTAGTTTAATTATTAATAAATGTGTTCTTTAAAAATTAATTACACATTTATCTGTTTTATTTAACAGACAAGCCTTCGAGAATATTTATCAAATGCTAAAACCTAATGCAACTATGCTTGTGTATGTAATAGCATCTCATGATTTATATGAAGTTCTCAAATTTTTGGAGCAAGACACCCGCTTTGCACAATACATACCTGTAAATTATAATATACATATTAAATTATTAATTAATATATTATTAAATTATAATTATTATTTGATTTACATTTTTACTATTTTTATAATATATTTTATTACTAGTAACTTTTAAATTATAAATTGTTAATAATTACTTTTCATGCAGAATTCGATGAAAAATATTTCGCCGTATCAAGAGTCAAAAAATGCTCGCAAAGAGTTAAGAGAATTACTTAAAAATGTCGGATTTACAGTTCATCATTGCAGTCTTCGGGAGGTGATATACTCCGATGAAAAACAGATGGTACAACAGTTTTTGAGTAAGTCATTTTATAAAAATATGCAAAAATAATTTTATATTATCATATTAGTAGTGCTTTAAGGAATTTTTTTAATATAATTTTATTTAAGTATATTGTAATTTAACACTGACTAATTTTATACTTACACATATACAGGGTATATCTGAAATAACGCCCACTAATCATATAGTGCTATTCCTAATAAAAAACTGAGTCGAACAGACTTTTACCATTTTGCAATTTTCACAATAGTTAACAAGATATCAATACGATATAATTTCTATAGATTGTCGAATATACGGATAAATTTGATGTATAAAACAATTTTTTATCTTTCAGTGTTTTTTGTAAAACATTTTGAAGATGCAATATGAAGGTTTAAATTACAATATATAAAGCTTCACAGATAAACTCAATAATGATAATATAAGGAAATTCCTATGTGAGCCAACACTAGATATTCGTGTGTAATAATATATATATTTAAAAAACAAAGAAATGGTTTAAACTTACAAATGACACCGATTTATTGAACTCCTTGTATCATGAGTTGGTCACAAAAGTTAAAGTTTCCTTATTTTAAAATTCTAGCTATTTATTAGTAATTTTATGTTTATATTTATTTTTTATTTCTGTACTGTTGGTTGCGTTCTCACACTTGCGTTATTTTTATTGCGTTTTGATCTCTCGCACTCGATAATGACATCTCTTTGTAGTCACATCGTTTTTGTAACAGGTCATCGTTAATCTGGTTTTAGTTTAAGTTTTTAGAGAATTTGATTTATATAATTTTAAATTTTAATCATACCATTTCCTGACTCAATTTTAGTGAAGTACATCTAACATGATCAGTTTGTATATTCGACAAAATATAACAGACGACGTAAAAGTTTCAATTATTGACAACAGTTTAACGATGATTTGATGACTTGGCGAGTAAACATATTATTTTATATCTCTATGAATGGCTATCAACATCTTTACATTGAAGAGGGCACAATACTAGAGTCGAAATGTCTCTCTCTGTATTAAAATTTTTAATATTATTACACACGAATATCTAGTGTTGGCTCACATAGGCATTTCCTTACATTATCATTTTGAAGATGTTTCTTAAAGAACTCTTAAAGATATTTTAAAGTTGTCTTATATATATATATACGTCAATTTTAGATATTTTATTTATGTATGTATATATATATATTTTTTTTTTAATAGATTCGCTAATATGCCTCTTGACATTTATTGAAGACATGCCATTTGATTTGATAGAAGAATTCAAGAATATACTTTCATATGAATATATGAGAAGAAAGATTTATTATAAATCAATATATAATGATCAAGAACTTGTATTAGACCGTTGTAAAGCGTTAGTAGTTTATGCACAAAAGAATATATAACAATTGCATAAAGATAAACCATTACAGAATAAGACATTTATATTGTAACATTATTTTTTAAACAGATTTCGCACAGTTACATACTAATATCATAATATTAATACTAGTAATGAATATGTATTAATATCATAATGTTAATACTAGTAAATAGATAATAATTTATTGCGGAATAAGTTATTAATAATTGGACTGAAATTATTAGAATAAGATGTGAATCTTATATCTAAATTGATATTTGCCGTATCATAAAATTAAAATTTCTAAGTATAAAACTTATATATAATAATCACGATATGTATGTGCCTGTATATCTCAATTAAATATTATTTAACAAAGTATTGCAAGAACTTTATTTTATAAAAATTTAATATATATTTGCATATTTGTAAAACTAAAAATAATAATAAATTAGAAACTTCGAAATTCTTTCAATTACTTGCGAATATAGATCTAAAATTTTTGTAAGAAACTTATTTAAACATATTCTATATAAATCTAAAAACGTATTTAATTGAAAAGCTGCAAAGTATATGTATACATTAGATATATATCAGTACAAATTAAAAGTTTATACTTTACTTTTTTAATTCAAAGCAATTATTTTATCAGTTTATTGATACTAGAGTATTTAAATGTTAGAAAGATATGCTAGAAATAAAGCATACATTATTATACAAGTAAGATAATGAATAAAAGAAGAAGCTTCAGTTAAAACTTGCGCATGCGTTTGATCTCAATATCTGTCCGTTGTATTGTCCAATATCTGCGTTCAACAGAAATAAGCGCTTTACGCCGATTGGATTATATTGGATCTAGGGGAACGGTCCTATCTCAGCAAAGAATATAGTCCTATCTCAGGAAAAATAAACATTCCCCTAAATACGGGATAATGACAATATAGATGTATAGTGAGTTCCTTGGTCATATTTATATACGTAACTTTCATGTGACATTTGGCATACCTACTCTCTACCTTACTTCGGTTCGCATATTCATTACAGTATCAGACATCAGGCGAACGGCACCACAAACGGACAGCACGGAAGAACAAGAATTTTCAACGAAAGTAACCACGATTTAACTTCAAATATAAAAGTTCATCGAAGTAGTACTTTACAATTAATTGTTACGAAAATCATATAATCGTTATACAGTAGATAAAAAGGTAAGAGTTAATAAAAATAAATAATATATGTGTATAGAAAAGCTATAAAAGGAAGCTGCTTATTATTGTTTAAACTTTTGCATTAGATCTTTTTCTCCCTTTTCAACAATAATTGTGTGTCTCGCACAAATTTAATAAAGTTAAGTGTCTTAATACGATGATTTTCTGTTCGGTTACGTATACGGTATTACGAATACGGATTTTATTTTCTCTTTCAAATAGAGCGTCATATTTATGTCTATAAGTTTTGATATATTAGAAAGGCATAACATTAATTTAAAAAAATTTTAAATTAAAAAATTTGTAGTATATAATAATGTTTAATATCATCTTTTCCAAGTAAAGCAGTGATATTAATAACACATAATATTCTATGATATCTTTTAATTATTTAAAGTTTATTTTTATTATTTTCGTGAATAGATATCTCACATATCGTGACATATACGTAAAACAACTGCTGTTTGTTAGAAATTTATTGCTGTTAGAAATTTATTTATATCTCGGCAAAGAGAAGTAATGTACATTAATCCTCAATACACGCGATAATTTTCTGATCCTTTACTTACTATACACGATGGATTATTCGTGTTGGATTAATCTTCATCCCTTTTACAATTACATACAAATCATTAAGTAATTCTTACATATATCTTAATATATTTAGAAAGTATTTATAAAGTTGTGTATTTAAAAAGTTGTATATACATATAAATGTTATAATTAAAGAAAATGAGAGAAATGCACCTTGTGGTATAAAAATTTTTGCAATATTATAAATATAATTAAAAATTTCTTTTTAAACAGTAAACTACTATGTTTAATTTATTATTTTATTTAAAATATACAAACGTAATAATGTTGTGTAAAAATTTAATATTTTGTACGAATCTAATACGTGATCTGATTTCTGTCTTCTATATAAAAAATAATAATTAAATAAGTTTGTAATGAGAGAGAATGAAGTACGAAAACACATTCACATTTGTATTCGGAAACAAAATCAGATAATACAAATGTTTATATACATTTTTTTGCGTAATTTTCAGATTCTAAATTTATTTCTGAAGTTATGCTCACGTTTAGCAGGAAATAAAGCCTATAACGAACGACTCTCGATCTTTAATGCTTAAATAATTCGATTGTATGTTTCGCGCCATAACGCTGCGCGTTATGAGATACATACCGTATCTCCAGATACTACGAGTCAAATATTTCTCTCCACAAATCTAAAAACAAAAGTATTCTTAAACTATATATAAATATAATAATGTTGTACAAGAATTTAATATTTTGTACAAATTTAATACAACCTGATCTGATTTTTGTCTTGTATGTAGAAAATATTTCTCTTCATAAATTTATAAGCAAAAGTATTCTTAAACTTTTATCAATTGTATAAAATGTTTCATAATATGTGAGCATAACTTCGGAAATGAATTCAGGACACAAAAGCTTTATATAAACGTTTGATCTACTTCTAACTTTGTTCCCGGGTAACAAACGTTTTCATTTACTTATAGTTTTTATTATAAGCTGAGTTAGCCTAGCTGGTTTCTATCTAGATGTTTAGTATTAATTTAAGTGAAGATAATATAATTGTACAAGCAGGGGTTATAAGAAGTCAGTCGTGGTAATTTGAGCGCAATACAATTTATTCTCTCAACCAATAATGGTGTTAAATTTAACATTTATATATACTATACGTTTCGACTCTGATTCGAGCCATTCTCAGCAGTGTTAGTAACGATGAATTGATGATTGACAAAATATTCCGCATGTATGTATAAATATATATAAGTATATCAAATTATATATAAAGGTATCGAATTTGATCGTTATATATATATATATTGGTCAAGAGAATAAATTATATTACGCTCGTAATTACCGCGACTGACTTCTCATAGCCCTTGTTTGCATAATTATATTATTAATTTTAAGAAATACAGAACTGTTTTGTGAGTATCTATCTTTGTTATTGTATTTATATTTAAGTGAAGATGTTTATAATTAACTAAAGATAGAAATGTGTAAAAATACTACGCTAACTTAGTTTGTAATGAGAATGAAGTACGAAAACACATTCACATTTGTATTCGGAAACAAAATCAGATAATACAAATGTTTATACACATTTATTTGCGTAACTTTCACATTCTAAATTTATTTTTGAAGTTATACTCACGTTTAGCAGGAAATAAAGCCTACAACGGGCAACTCTCGATCTTTAATGCTTAAATAATTCGATGTAAATTTATATGTCTCGCGCCATAACGATGCGCTTGTCGTAGCGTCAAGATACCGTATCTCCAGATACTATGAGTCACAAATTCTATCAAATTGCGCACAGAATGAATTTTTCGAAACGATTAAAGTTTTGAAATGTTAATCAACAAAACTATCATAGTAATATCAGTAATTAAATTGCGTAGCAATTTAATAATTTAATGCTTATAGACATCTTACGTTTAGTATGTTTATCAGTATCATTAAGATTTAGAAAGATCTTAATGATATTGATAAACATATTAAAATTTCTAAATAATTTATTCCGAATAATATTATCTCGATCGGAGATCGAATTCGGATTTTTTTAAGATACCTATGAGCATCAAATTATTAAATTGCATAGCAATTTAATTTGTGATATTATTACGATAGTTCTGTTGGTATAACATTTGAAGACTGAAAAATTAATTTGGCTCGCAGTTTGGCAGGATTTGACACGCAGTATATGAATTTCACATTGAAATATTTAAGCTTTAAAGATCCAGCTTCGATCGTTATGAATGTTATTTCCTCTTCGTTATGTATACGTACGGTCAAATAAGATTCTCATTGTTTACATACATCGCCAGAAATAAGATGCTTGTTTCCATACATATACCGGTTATTGCGGAGAATGTTACTAAAGTCACTCGGTCGTCAGATTTAAGACGCTCGCACGGAATGCGAGATCTGGAGTTGATCTCTGGTTGAGTTAATATTTTTTGCAATAAATTGTTTTAATATATTATTTTAATATATTTATTAGCAATTATTTAAGCGCCAAAAATCCAGCTTCGACTTATGGTCTTTATTTCCTATTGATTGTGTATTCACATGTACAATCCAATAAGATTCTTATTAATTATACCCACATGTTATTAAAATATCCTGTATAGTATCTTATCTAAAAATATATACAAATAAAAAAAATATATATATATATGAGTATACATGTATTTTGATATACCTTTGCATCAAATTAAACAAATAATAACTTGTACTTATATATATATTTACAAAAGATTTACTTTAATTTTTTTAATATATTCGATTGTGTTACAGATATTTCTAGTATTTTTTTAAACATATTCTTGTAAAATAATGACAACCAACGGTAGTGATACGAACAAACATTTTTACAATCCATTCAAGTACACTTTTAATTATTCCAATCCATTTAAGTATACTTTAAATAATAAATTGCAAAGGGAAAAAGCATCTGCTGTGATTGATGAATTTGAGGAACATCTCAAAAGTATATCTGGAAAATGCCTTGATATAGGTTGTGGACCTGGAGATATAACAAAAGATATGATTTTGCCGGCTCTTGATCCAAACGCAGTAGTAATTGGTAAGAAAAGTAATAATTTATATAAAAACATGTAACAATATGTTAAAATAAATTATTAAATATAACAATTATTACTTAAGAATTGTAAAGTTAATTCAATTATTTTATATCATACAGGTACAGATGTTTCAAAAAACATGATTGATTATGCGAACAAAAAATACAGTATACCGAAAAAACTCGAATATGACGTTTTAGATGCACAAACTAAGAATTTGCCTACAAAATACTTATCTGAATTTGATTTTATATTTTCATTCAATACTTTACACTGGTGCAATGATATCAAGTAAGAAAAGTTTTATTAACAAAAATAGTTTTGTTTTCTTTACAAACACTTTTATAAATAAGCGATGATTAATAAATATGCACAGAATAACATCTATAATGTGCGTGTAATTTAAAAAAAATAAATTATATATAATTATCGTTTATAATATTTCTCGAACTTTACATTATATAAAATGAAATAATATTTTACAATTAATATCTTAATATTCGTTAAAAAATTTTTTCGATAATTACATTAACAATATTCTATAGTTTATAGATACTGTAAATATAAATATAGATTATAAAATAGATTAAACAATTGAAATATGTATGATATACAATTAACAGATTTGAGATTTTTAGATAGAACGTCGGTTTGATATCGATTTATAAGTTGTAAATGCATGCTAATAAAGGTCTTATTTATCAAGACAATACTGTAAAATATTAAATTGTAAATTAATTTATTAATAATTAATTTTAAACTGATAAATAATCTACTAAATAACCGAAGCTACTAGATACAAATATTCTTCACAAATTAATTAAAAAAATTTTTGTATTAAATAGACAGACATTTGAGAATATTTATCGCATGCTTCAACCCAATGGAACTATGCTTATACTTTTTGTAGCATCTCATAAGATATTTAAAGTTTTGGAAAAATTAGCAAATGATGCTCGCTTTACACAACACATAACGGTACATTTTTTATTTAAATATATTACTATCTTAAAATCTTTAAATACACATTATTGATTATTTTCTGTTCTCATTATTATTTATAAAATATTATATTTATACAGGATTTAAATAAGTACATGTGGCCATTTCAAAAGTCAGTCAATCCTCGCAAGGAGTTAAAAGAATTACTTGAAACTGTCGGATTTACGGTCAATCATTGCAGCCATCGGGAATCATTCCATTTTGACGAAAATCCGGACAGATTTTTTTGTAATTTTCTTTAAACAGATATATAAAAATTAAATTTTTAGTAATTATAACTATAAGTGTGTTTCAAAATTGGCGATTCAAAATATTATATCGACAAAATATTATATTTCGAAAGATTAATTAAAAAAAATTATTTGTAAACTTTATTCTAAGCAATAGAAATTCTGATATATATAAGGGCTATATGGCTAATTATATATCACGTTTAGAGGGTTACCTGTAAATATTAGTAAACGCTCTGAAGTGCGCATTCGTCAACGTTTATTAATACCACCGCACACACGACTCATCATGTGGCTATCAGAGCATAGTCTGTAAACAATAAATCATTATTATCTCAAAAATTACTGCTTAAAATAAAAATTTACAAATAACGTTTTTACTCAATTTTCGGAGAAGTATTCTGCAATAGTATTTTGAGTAACGAATTTTGGTACATTCTGTATAATTATTAATTATAATGTAATTTTAAACTCTTCTCACTTTATCTGTATAGTTTTATTTAATTAATTAATTTAATTTAATACTAATATTAAACTAGATTATATATATTATTTAGTTAATTATTTGGTATAATTTTTGCAGCTTCTATTGCGTCCTTCCTTGATTTTATTGAAGATATGCCATACGACAAGAAAGAAGAATTTAAAAAAGAATTTGTGGATAAATATGCAAAAACACAAATTATCTGTAAACAAAATGATCAGAATACGGTATTAGAGGTGTACCGCGTATTAATGGTTTTTGCTCAAAAACGTATGCCATGAATGTGTGTGCACATTATTCATTTTAAATGAAATAATTATTTTAATTATATATTTAATTCAATTCCCGATAAAATTATTTATGACAAAATAAAAAAAATATATTGTATTAGATGTTTACAATGTATTAAAAGTTGTACAACAACGTATGTCATAATTGTGTGCACATATTATTTGTTTTGAATAAATATTGTAATTAAACAATAAATTTATGTAACTTATGATGAAATTATTTATGTCAGATTATCAATTGTCTAAACGTTCGATTAAAAAATTTAACATTGCGTTACTGAAATTTTTAAAGATATGATAAATTTATTAGAATTTGTTCCTACTGACAATTTATTGTAAAAAATATGTAATCAAAATTCTTAAAAATCTAATAAATATATTTTGAAACTGTACAAACGTTTTTCAATTCCAGAGATACAACAAAAAATATTATTTTATCAACTTTTAAATGCAAAAATACAAATATAATTGATTTGGCTCGCAGTTTTGCAGAATTTGACGCGCAGTATATGAATTTCACATTGAAATATTTAAGTTCTAAAGATCCAGTCAATCCAGCTTCAATCGTTATGAATGTTATTTCCTGTTGGTTATGTATACGTACGATCAAATAAGATTCTTATTGTCTACACACATCGCCAGAAATAAGATGTTTGTTTCTATACATATACCGGTTATTGCGAAAATTGTTACTAAAGTCACTCGGTGGTCAGATTTAGGACGCTCGCACGGAATGCGAGATCTGGAGTTGATCTGTATTGATAAGATAAAATAATTGTAGGATAATGATAAATTCTATAATAATATAAATTATTTCTTGATTCAACATAAAGATATAAGTATTTCACAAAGAGTGTAATCGTTATTCATAATATTTTCTGAGTCTTCTAAATCATTATGAAATAAAATAGTTATGTATGTATACATGTATATTAAAAGATACTAATTTAAGTAGAAACTTAAGTTACCACAGTTCTAATTGATCGCTCGTTCGAAAGACAAAAGAAAGTTATTAAGATAAAAGAGGAAAGGAAACTTTAATAATTTACGCGCCTTTAGATGTAAAGCTATCTATCACATTCGGTCAATTTTGACCGATATTTGGCATAAGGCCTGTTCTTTATCGAAGAACTCTTTGAACTGCATATGGTACAATAACTTGAAGTAAAAGGAATAAAGTTTTTTTTTTGCTCAACTTATACCGTGTGTACCAGCTCAGAAAATTCATCGATAAATAATAGATCTATATTCTCTGTTTCAATTTTTCGTGTTTATTACAATATCAGACGTTAGACTGTCATAGTTTCGAATGATACTATGAAAAGAAAGAAAATTTCCAAAATAACAACGTATTTAATTTATCTTAGGTATAAAAGAAAATAAAAGATTGTCTTTGACGAAAAGAAAACATGGCAGCCAAAACGAGAAACTGTCTGGTCACCAAGAATATTATGGTATTATTGAGAATAATAAATCCTTGAGGATGAGCTGGAATTAATTGCAGGACCGATTGCAAGCAATTTACGACACTGATTGCAGCCGAGATGAGAGAACCATCTTGGGAAAATCTTTCGGACGACGGAAGAGAAGGAAAACGGTGTCTCTATCTTTCTTTTCCGTATCTCGCCTCTTCTCTTCTTTGAAGCGCGGATTTGAATCTACGTTTTACAGCGCAATTAATTCCCCAAGGAGAGTTGCATTTCTTGCTCCGTCGGGGCAAGGAAAGGGATTTGTGAACGGTAAGGTTTCCGAAGTCTCGTAGGAACTTGGCAACCGGACAGAGACGAGGCGAGTGCAAGGAAAGGAAAGAAATCCGAGGAAGGATAGATTCGCGGGGTTGCTGAGGGAAAAGACCGACGAGGAGATGGCAAATCATTTCTATAGAGTTAAGGGATACACGACGTCTCCGCGACGGTATTATCGATGACCGCTAAACGTCCCGCTTTATCTCTGTAGAATCCTGTAAAGTTAATGATTTAAGATTATTTCCTGTATCAACAGGATTCATCTATTTCTAGAATTGGAAGGAAATGATACTTAAATACATAAACGCTGAATTTGTCAGCGATCGAAAAATATCTTTGACGAAAGGCGCATTTTACTATTTAAGTGAAACAGATGTGAATAGATGTGAATTTTTGTTACTTGCATAAAATTAGAAATAATTAAAAGTTAATGCATTTGTATCATTGCATCATTTTTATTCTTCTCAAAATAAAATTTTATACGTTTTGTGAAATAAATTCAATTATTTTATAAGCAATTAAAATGTTAAAGCAGAATATGCGATTAAGAATCATCTTTGATCATTAATTTATAATTTGTTTCAATATATATAATATTTCTTAATATTATTTTCATTAAATATAATTTAAATTAATAAAAAGAATTAATTTTTAACATCATAAAAAACTAAATTATACATAAGTTTTAAGTATTGGTCAGGAAAAGATTACATTTTTTTTTTAAATGCAACAAGAACGTATGTACACTTAGGAATATTATTTCAGAAATAATACAAGAACTATTTTAAAAGCTGATAATTTAAATATAGATTATCTTGTACAATATCTACACCGCAATCAAATACATTATATTTTAAATCTTATTTAATTTTGTTTATTATATGTTAACTTCTTGTATAAATATAAAATTTAAAACTAAATTTTTAATAAAACAATGTCTAGCATATCAGTGCTTTGTTTATGGATTAACTTAATTTTGATGCTTATTTTTTCTTTTCTGAAATTTAAAGTATATGGATAATAATTTTCTTTGTAATTCTAATGGTTAATAGTATGTAAAGTTTTGAAATTTTATAGCCAGTTGAATTCAAAGAATTCTTCCAAGATACAATTTATTTATTGAATTTTCTTGCAGGGAGACAGAAAACACGATTATGGCGAGCGTCTCATAATTCAGACTACCTTTCATATGCGAAATTGCAGAGCGTGTCGAAGGGATTAAATCATTCAATCGCGACACTTGCCATTTTCATACTAAATATTTTATACGAGAGTTACGGTTTCCTCGCGGCGATTCCTGTATAATTTGCAATTCAGAAGATTTCTATATCCGCGCGCGGATTCGCCGGAGACCTATGCTGGAGAGCGCGATGCCTTGAAGTCTGTCTTTTGCCAAGCTCACGTCGCAGCTTCAGGGACAAACGGGATGTGTATGAGACGCATCGCCAAAGGAACTTCTTATTTGTGCGAGGAGAAGTGCCGCCGACGGAGCCGCTTTTCCTGCTCGCCAGGGAAATCCGATACGAAGTCTATCCATGTATATTTGAGGACCTGCGGCATTACTCGGCGCTCGGCAGAGCATGTTGCTCGCAAAGCGGACAGAACTCTCCCGACCTATTTACAGCTCTTCGACTTGCCATCAGTCTGCTCAAGATTTTGATCAGTTTGCGATATGACGAGTATAAATTTTGTGAAATAAAATGCACAATCTGTAGTTTATATACTTTGAGGAGGGAAAAGACAAAGGCATAGTGTTGATTACGTTGTCCTAGTTAAAGTTTTTAATTTAATATACATATATCTTAGGAACACAACTGTGTAATAATTCATTTAAATAAGAATAATACTATTACTCATTTAAATTGAAAAAATATTTTGGAAATATTTTATCTCTTTGCTAGAAATGGTATCTTTGAAATATTTTAATGGCATTATATCTTTATAATATATAGATTAGAGTATGAATAACGCGATCTGCTGTGTTGTCAGGATATCTCTAATTTAAGACTTTCACAAATTTCTGAGTTTGAAAATTCACCGCGTGTCATCAAATTTGTACATAAAGTATATCAAATAAAACTCGGAAAGAAGTTCAAAAGATAAATAAAGTCAAAGGAGAATAATATAGCAAAGAAAAAATTTTTAATATTGTATGTAGTTTTTTTCAATTATCTAAAAACATTTCAGATATAGTTTTATTTTTTATAGTGTAACGTAATATAATACTTAATAATTAAAAATAAAACATTTAATATTACGTAATTATAATTACTTCTTATTACATAAACAGGAAATCACAAAATCTTTGTAAATGATTATTATTTACACAAAACATGTTTCTGCTTTAACATTTCAAGAATTATCAAATTAATTAGTTAGAATTATAATTAATTATATAAAATATTATTCTATATTGCTTCTCACTCGAATATTCTTGTCGCGTCTAAAGAATTAATTCGACACTTGTCCCGTCTACCGAAGGACGTTTTCCGGTAAAATCATTCGTTAACCAACTTTTCTCTTCACGCCCTATCATACGGTAAAATAAATATCCTTCTGTTAAGCATGTTCGTCGAGAAACATTGCTTAATTAAAAATATTATCCATTATAATCGAATAAGCAAGATGTAAGATCCCTACAGTAAGAACCTTATGTCATTTGTCAAACGTTGTAGGAGTTCACGGAGATTACCAAATGAAACTAATTAAGAAGATAACGGGAAGATTGTATCTCACGCTCCCCATTACACATTGTCCTGATGAATTACGTCTTTCTTCCAAACGGCTGTGTGCATTCGTTACATCCTGCCATTTTTTCAAGAGACTACGCGGAGTAATATTTAATCCTGTCTTATCTACCTATTCCAAATGTATTTTTTATTCTACTCTTATCTCATCTCCATACAGTTTTTACGTAGTTATATAGTTGAATATAAATGACTTGATTTTTTACGAGAAACTGAGGTATTAATTTCTGTCTTAATATAACATTTTTATTTAATAATCTTCTCCCAAGACAACTTAATTTATCATTAAACTCAATTAAATTATTATTCATATTTTTTCAAATAATTTGCAAAATAGAAATAAAAATTTTATTATCAATTTATATCCATGTTATTCCAGAGAAGATTTATTTTATCGTTTTAAATAGAATGATAATTTAATACTTTTTTTCTGTAATTTTTCTATATTAGGGTCACAAGTGACCTACGCTGGATTTTCCATTCTTTATAATACCTTTGTAATATTTGTAACCTTTATGAAATACAAATATATAATAAATGCAAACAAAAATACCGTGAGT